CGAGATGGTAAAGAACCAATGGACATGTCGTTTGCACTCTCTGGGTCTGTTTTCTAGATTTCTAAACTGAGTGATTTAGAGGAACCTCTAAGTTTGCCCTCACTGTAAGGTTGTTTATGATCTTTATTTACACACACCTATGATCATTTTTCCTAGGCAGAACTGAGCACACTGAGAATCTCAGTAATTAGTTTTGCTAGAGTGTAGCCCGTTTTCAGGCTCCTCAATGGTGATGTTCATTGCACAGCTGTGAATTCCATCTCTCAGATGCTTTCCTGCCCAAGTTGTCCTGAGAACAGCTGAAACGTGAGGTTACAGTTTTCGCTAAGAACTATTACAGAGAAGTGCTGGGGAGGTAGGGTGACCTGGCTTGGGAGTCCTCACCCACACTCTGAAGAACTTAGACAAAGACCCCCAAAGCAGAGACATGAAAAGAATTTCCAAGAGAAATGGGTAAAGAAAGAAAATTAACTGCCTGGGACCTGGCTGGGTGTGGTCAGTTCTACCAACAGTGTATGAGCTGGGGCCAGCAAATCAAGAGAACAGACTCATGGTCAGTGCTTCAGGCCTATATGGTTGCTTAGTTCCTCCCCTCAGTCCCAGCAAATCCCCGGCAAGGAGCTGCTCACAGTTGAAGCTTATCTGTCTGCATGGAGAGGGCGGTAGAGTCCGCTCAGGAATCACGCACTGACTTGGAGCTGCTCCTCAACTTCATCGAAGAACCACTACCACATTCTCTCATCTTGCCTTAGGTGTCCTTAATCAAGATGCTGAGATGACGTTTGTGCTCATCAGGCCTTCAATCACCTTCTGGTGTCTGTTTCTAGCAGTTCCCAGAGCACTATGCTATGTCTTTTCGAGTAGCTACAATTCTAGTTCTAAAAGGTCTGAGGTAAAAATTTAATTTAGATCCTTCATTTCCCTGGACTGCTCTGCCCCACTGCAGTCCCAGAAACTGAGGCTCCAAGAGGCGGACATACCTCAGTGTTGAGTAGCTGGTCTGTGTCACTACACAGTGCAGCCTTTACAAACACAGGTACCACTACCTAGCCAAAGGCTGCAGAAAGCCATACCAATTGTGGTGCTAAGGAGTAGCAAGATTTTGGGGTGACTTAATCTTTCTAAGTTCCCCTGGCTACCTCAGTGGAAGATTGAGGCAGGAGCATGAGGTAAGTAACTTGACTCTAGTTTCCTTATCTTCTGGTAGGAAAATTCCCCTGGCTTTTCTTATCTCACAAGAATGTTGTGAAAATAAAGTATGAGCTGAATTTCAGTGCCCTAGAGAATCAATCCAGAGAGCATTTATTTCATGAAAAATTACATGCATTCTTCTAAATTTTCTGCTTGTCTGATACTCTCATTGAACTTGATACATGATTTTTTAGTCATTAGGGTAGGTACATTCTAAATTTTGACAAAGTGCCTATTCTTACTTCACTGATTACTTAAGGGCCTTAATTCTTTTAAAGAAGATATCGTATGTTGGAACTACACACGTGATTAAAAATCTGAGTTGAGGCAGAATCAAATTAAGAATTTGTTGGGTTTTACATCCCAGAATTAAGACACAATAAGCATCCTAGCACTAGCATGTAATTAAGGACACTGAAGAGAAAGGCAAAGATTGAAAAGGAGGTAGCATCTGTTTCAAGGCACTATTACTAGCCCTTTATCCATCTGTAGGTTGCCTTAGAGTGTAGTAGTGCAATGTATTATTCTTCAATGTCAAATTCCCCATTTTAACCAACCTGAGTTGGAAAGTTACATTCATACAGGCTTGTCTGCAATTCCAACACTTGGTTTGTGCCAGACTCAGCACAAAACACTGTAGCCACATTGAATGCACTTTCATGCCCCACCTCACACCTGCTGGGGCAGAATCTGCCTTTTAACACGATCCCAGGTGATTTACTTGCCCATTAAAGTTTGAAAAAAAAAAAATCAATGACTATGCAGCTTTCAGTTTTACTGTGTTGCATGGGACTCTGATAGAATGCTATATTTTTGTGTTTGATGTACTTGAGAAAACCTATAAACTGCAGCTGTCATTGCACTCAGTGCTGAATGCAGTTAATTCTTTACCATTTCCACCCCCCACAAAAACATTGCCAGTTTTGCAAATTATGTAGTCTGTCCCACCTGGCTTCCCTAAAGTTGATGGTTCCTGCCTTGATCTTATTCCGAAAATCACCTGTAACCTTACAATTGCTAGTGTTTTATTTGGAATAACCTTTTGCAGACTGAGAGGAGAAAGTAAGACCACTGGCCAAAAACAGCCTTGCTTGGCTGGTGTTTAAAACCCCCAAAGAAGGCATTCACTTGGAGTTTCTTATTCTTAGTAGAAAGTAACAGAATTCTTTTGGAGAAAGAGTGCAAGAGAGAAGCAAACTCTTGTTAACATGACCAGTTCCTGAAACTCATTCTCAGTCTAAAAGAACTGATTAGTCTCAGTTCTTTTAAGAATTTTAACATCAAATCCTGCTACTTGGAGTCACTGGGAATTGCATTAGTTTTTTGTTCTTCCTTCTCACATTTTCTAATAAGCTAAGGAAAGCAGCTTCAGTTGACTGGCAATGCTGGCTGCTTTTAGCAGCTGTGCCCACTTGGTCTGGATCAGGACTGGCTGTCTCAGAACAGCGTTCCTGCAGCCCTAGCACACTCATGTGAGAACGAGCTCACTGGCTGCTTCCCCCAGCCAGTGAAGGCCTCCCAAGCTACCGCACCGTGCAGGCATCTCACATGGCTAAATCCTGCTGGATTTCATTTAGAAAGGAGATTCAGTATACTCGACAGAAAGAGAACTCTTCCCTTGAAAATTCACGGTGCAGGGACATTACCTCTGGCCTCAAGAGACACTGGGTGTCTCCTTGAGGTTTCTGAATGCCACTTTTAGAGAGGAAGTTGAAGAAAAGTGCCTTGGCCTTTGAATCCCTGGCTCAATCAGGCCAGGGAAGGAAGTAGTAGTATTTAAGAGCACAGTGGGGTGAGATTGTAGGGGTGGCAAACTCTTCCCTCCTGTGAGCTTGGCTGCTCTAGTAACTGGCATTAGGTAGACTAACAGGAAAAAAAACGAATTTTGCTTCATATATACAGAAGCCACAAAGGAACGCAACTCAAAAGAAGTGACAGAAACAGACAGCTTTTATAGTTTTTAGAAAAGGAAACAACTTTGGAAGAATGGACTAGATAAGGAGGTTTGGGCTTGGGCTACGTCAATGAGGAAGAGACAGGTGGGTGTTTTCAGCCTCTCGACCCTGAGTTCCCTGACTCTGGTGATAAGAAAGCCTTCTACCCTCCTGGTACAGGAGAGGGACCCTCACAGGAGAGCTTTCTTGCCCACTTTTGGAGAAGACAGAGAAGGATTAGAGCGACCTAGTGTGAGCTGGAGGAGCTCACAATTAGGACTGAGAGGATGCTGCAGCCCCCTCAGCCCCAGGCAGCGTCGGAGGCAGCAGGCCCAGGAATGAGTTGCTGGATTAACAGCTCAAAAAGTGACCGGACAGAGAGCTGGTCAACACCGGTCACTAGGAAGCGGTGTTATCAGAAACACCGTCTGAACAGCTGCCGCCCCACGCCAGCAACTAGCAGCAGTCAGAGACGCCAGGCCTTTCGGGCAACATCAGAGACAGGACCAGAGGCTGGTGGCCCTGGCCTTTGCAAAACTCTGGCTTCTCTAAGCTTTTTGGCTTTTTTAAGAGGTTGCCTACTGGATGATGCTTCTTTCTTCAGAGGTCAGGAACAGATTAGGTGCGAAACAGAGTGAGTCAGGAACAGAGTCAGAGTGCGGGCGCCCAGCCGGCACCTGCCCTGCCTTATATCCTCTTCCAGGCCCCCCTCCCACCCGACAAAGCCTGATTGGACCCAACCGTGTTCAATCATCTGGCTGAATGGACCATTCACAGGTCATCATCGCCCACACCTGATGGCCCACTCCACCATCCAGGCACCAAATCCATAGGCCTCTATTGCCTGCAGCTGGCAGTGCTGGGGCTGCAGTGTGGGGCCCCAGGCACCTCCCTACAGCCCTGGAGTGGGGGCTGCCTGCCCTGGGGAGCGTTTGGGGGCACACTCCTGCCCACCACACCTGCTGGCCAATGCCCACAGCCTGAGCCCCAGTGGGGCAACTGCTGGCAGACTATAGAATGTTGGTCAGCTACTGCTACTGGCAACTTCCCACAATCAGCTTCTGGGGCCAAAGAGCCTGAGTCCCAAGACGGGGTCCGGGGGGGTCTCTAGTTTCAAAGCGAATCCAGATGAGCCCCTGCCCAGACTTCTCCTTGTCCACCTCCCAGGAGATTTAGTCATTTTCAAAAAAAAAAATTTTGGCCGAAGAGTAGAAAATGGGCCAGACACAATCTTCTCAGGAGCTGTGGAGAACATACCTACCTGTCCAGGCCCCTGCCCGGCATACCACCTGCAGAGTGTTTGCTGTTCGCCTGGTTTCTAGTGGAGAACTTGCTTCTGAGTCAGCTGCACTGGAGATGGAATTGCAGCGCGTCTCTTTCTAGCTGTGTCCCGTGTACCTCATCATTAAACATCTCTTCCCCCCATATCTTCATTTGTAAGATGATGATAATAGTGTAACTGTTGCATGTGAGTGTATCCAGAGTGGGAGGAAATACTCTATATGTGATTCTTCTCAAAATACTAGTCATAGAAGGGAACGTTCCATGAATGTAAATTTCTTTTCATGACTGGACCCTGATTTTATTCAGACCAATCCATTTGAGCTCTTGTCTAACTTGGAAAAGAACAAGATAACTTTGCTATAATCCTAGACAGGGCATAAGATGGTACAGAGCTGAACTGTTTTCATTTCATTTGAAAGCTTGGCAGCTTCAGTTGTGATGACTATAAAATGTCACTCAACTCACATGTTTCTTACCAACACAAATGTTTCTGAAAACTTGTGTTAACAATGAAAAATCATCAGCGGTAGAAACCCCCCTCTTTAACCTGTTCTCTTCTCTCTTCTCCCCCCTCCCCAATCCGATGGGAAGAACTCCTTGACCAGGAGCGCCCCCCTCCCCAATGACTCCCAGGCACGCAGCGGAGCTCGATTCCACACTTCGTACGACAAAAGATACGTTATCAAGACCATCACGAGTGAAGATGTGGCTGAAATGCACAACATCCTAAAGAAATACCACCAGGTAATTTAAATTTCTCTGAGACTGAGAAGGTTCACATTTATGAGTTACCATCAAGGCCAAAGATTTAGGGATATTTAGAAAATGAGGGCACATTTGACATAAACATCTCTTCTACCTGGGTTTTTAAAAATGACCGTGGCGGCCCTCCCTGGTGGCGCAGCGGGTTAAAGCACAGCACAAAGAAACTTAAACCACTTCCACATGAGTTCGATCCCCGCCTGCCCCGGAGGAGATCCACATGGCGTGGCAGACCTCTCCTGACCCGCCCGCTGCTCCCCTCAGCAGTGTACTTCGTCGATCTGCCTGTTGTGCTCCCCGCTCTCTCTCTGTTGAATCCTCTCACCCTCTGCATCTCTGGCCTGTACCCCAGTTCTGTACAAATAAATAAATAAATCTTAAAAAAAAAAAAAATGACCGCGGCAGATCACTGACAGTTTGCATTTAGGAATCTTCACGCTATGAAGACCATGTAACACTTCTGTGTAATAGCCTCCATGGGTGCCATTCTGATTTTAAAATCACTCAGCTTAAGATCTGGCAATATTTCAAACACTTTTTGAACTTTGACCATGCCAGAAATTAGGTGTTGACTTCGGACTGCTTGTACCTCCTAATCCTGTCCTGGCCCCAGAAAGACCTATTCCCATTTGCCTTTTACTCTGAGAAAATTCTCTGGTTTTAAGAAGTGTCTTCTTCTTTCTTTTCACCCTTCAGCCATTATCCCTACGTCATGGCATAGGGGTAAAATGAAATTTACCTTGGGAGCAGTAAAATCTCTCTCTTCCTCTCTTTTCCAGCATACATTTCAAGTTTACCTGGTAGAGCTCTGTTGCCCAGGTCCCAGCCCAAGCTGTTAAAGGCCTCACTGTGAGGTAGCTGGTCCATTGTCAGACAACCACAGGCCTGTCACCTCCTAGCCTTGCAGTAGCTAAATTTTGAAGCCTCAGTACCCTCCTTTTCACAATGGAGATATAACAACTATGAAGTCCTGCAGATCAAATAGGAGAAGGTACATCAAGTACTGAGCCCTCAAGAGAGGGTGATGGAAGTCTCCACCAATTCATAAAATAAACAATGACAGACAGCTATATTGAAAATTTGTAGTCAACAGTATCTTGAGAAATTTTAGTCTTTGACATGAATATTTAATCTTTGACCATTGCTTGCAACATCTCAGCAATTATTCACAACTGGTATTAGACCCACCCACCCTACCCCCCATTCCCATACATTGACCCTCTTGCTTCTAGTCCTGCTTCTTTTTTTTTTTTTTAAACCAGCATTAACCAAAGAATTCTTAAAATTGCTAATATGCATTATTAGGTTTGGTCTCTCACAGTGAGTACATTTGGATTTGTGAGCTCTTAGACATCCACTTAAAAGTCAGCTTTCTTGCTGTCCGGTCATGCTTTATGTTCCAAAAGCATGGATTATTTCTTGGCAGTTACTTATTATTCCAGTCTGTGCAAATGTAATCAACTGTATTTTGCTTACAGTGAAGTCAATAAAAAAATCTTTGAGCTGCATCCTGTTTCTGGAAACTCAGGACTGCCCCTAATTTGTTTTCTAAAAACATTAGTCAGCCTCTAATTCATTTAACATCTCATAAATCTTTTATAACATCTATTTCTTTTGAAATGTGTTCTGCAGTGCTTATGCTCTTGGCTATTATAAAGGACACCTTAAAGTTCCAGGGAAGAGACTGTGATGGTGAAAACACAAAGGCATTGACTTCTGTGAAAGAATAGAGTTGCAGGATGGAGCTTTTAACAAGTCACTTTTCAAAGTGTCTGCCATTTCATTTTCTTTCTCTGGAATGTATCCTGACAAATGGCTATGATACTACCTAATCAAATATAATTTGGTTCAAATATCAATTCCATTGACAACTCTGAGTTCAGAATTTTTTTGCTTTTATAAAAGTCAGTTGGAAATGCTATCCCTGGGATATTTACTTATATGCAGATTTGACATCTCATCAGTCTTACGTAAAGTGACCTGGGGATCAAAATAAGTCTGTTGACTGCATTTCATTTCACTACTACAAAATAGTTATTTCCTTGGTACACTCTTTATAGAATAAAGTCTCACCCAATATCTGTATGTTTCTTTCTTGTTAGAAAGAGTATTTTAAATACAATTTCAAGTGTCATGATGATTGAAAAGCACAATTATTGATGTAAAGAACATGAACTGGTAACTGGGGCAGTGTCTGAATCTGTTTTCTCATCTACAGCATACTTTCATTCATTTTCATGTATTTACTCTCGACCTACTTCCAGAAAGGATATGAGGTGACCTCAAGGAAGTTTCAAATACAAGACAGAATAAATTGAAGAAAAAAGAACAAAAAAGGAAAGAAAGGGTGAAAGCACAAAATGAAGCCTGAACTGACCCTAAACATTCAGACCACGGGGACCGGCTCCGTACCATTTTGAGGGCCACCAGTTAGACCTGTATGTCCCAGGAGTCACATGGAAAAGAAATGTTGAATAAATAAGATATATATTGTGTATTCAAGTGAACCTTATGTAAAGGTGGAATGTCACTATTCTTGGAACTAAGATCAGACAGTGTTCTCTCTCAGGAGTTCCCCACAGAAAGGACAAGCTACATGATAATATCCTCCTTGTAACACCACATAAGGCAAGAAGAAATAGAATTCTGGAGAACGTTAAAAGAAAATAATCAATCTGGTAGTTCCCACTTCTGAGACTAACTGCCCTTGAAAATACTATATATGATAAGGTATTTTGGAAGGGAGAGAGAGATCACATGCATATGACTTATATATATTGTTTTGATATACTATTTTATTAGTAGTATGTGTTGTTATCGCTTACCTAATTTATAAATTAAACTTTATCACTGGTATGTATATATAGGGAAAAGCACTTCTTAATGGGCTCTGTACTCTCATGGTGTCAGGAGTCCCCTGCAGCTCTAAGAGTTCATGCCCCTGGCTAAGGGTGGGCCTACTGTGCAGAGTGCTGAAGCCACACTACATATATTTCACATTTGCCGGATGCAATGCAAATGGACTCCCAGGAGCTCTGCTCCTCTGGCTTCCTCTAGGTAGGATTTAAATGTTGGAGCTGCTCTTTCTGCGGGCACTTTTAGCCAAGGCGTTGATGTATGTTACAAGGTGCTGAGCTCTGCCTGGCTATTCCAATCAACCAGACACAGGCCTCAGCACCCAGAATTCAGGAGAGGTGCTTCCTGGCATTGTCTGTCTCTGTGCTAATCACTGGAGCTCAGAGACATTTGGGACATGTATGAGGCCTCTTCTTTCTGCTTTATAGGTAGGACTAGACTAGTTTTAGCATTTATGTTCAGTCTTAAATTTTTTCTATGTGCTTTGCTGGCAATGATCAGTTCTTCTATTTCTTCTTGCCTTATGTTACTTTAACCCTCTGATTTCCTGTGCTTCCAAACTGCCCATCTGGAGAAGCCATTCTGCGTGTTCCTGCTGCCTATCAGTAGGAACCAGCACTCAGAGCAGGCATCTCCCATGGAGTATATTGGATGGACTCCTGACATCTTGGTCACCATTCTTGGAGTACATCTTTTCACCCATCCATGAAGGACAATGGTGTTGGTGTTAGTACTGGAAGAAAGAGCCATACAAGGAAGCAAAACTGAGACAGTAGGCCCTATACAAGACAAATTAAAAGTTAAAAGTGGGAAAGGGAGGGAGTATGATACCGCAAGATAAAAAATCATTATTACATCAGTGCTTCTCATATTTGATTGTAGACAAAACACCTGAACATTCATGAAAACATGGATTCTGGCTTCATAGTTGAGAGGAGCTGGCTGGGGCTTGAGATGTTATTTCTCTAACATTCCAGACAATTCCAGTGAAACACCCCTCTAAGTGACAGAGAAGTACCTGCTTTTTAAAACAAAAGAAACTTTGAGTCAACTGACTTTTTTGTTCACTATCTGAAAGAAAGGAAAATGGAAATACAAAAAGACAGTTAACTTTCTAAATCCTGAAAGCCCGATAGGACCAAGCAAGGCAGATGACTCCAAGCAGAGCCATCCTTCTTTGGATTGGAGACACTTTTCTTGATTTTCTCTCAGGAAGACCTGCCATTGTCAGGTACCCATGGTCCAGGGCGTGCCCAGTCAAGCTGTATTTGACAGAACTTTCTGGACAGATCTCTTGCTAATGAGGGCATTTGGAGCCATTTGTTCCAGGGTTCCCAAGAGCTGCCCAATATGCCTAGCAGCACAGATTGCCTGCAGCAGTTTCTCTCTAGTTTCTAGAAATCTCATCATTCTTCCTAACACTTCGCCCATTTTCTCCTTTCTTTCCAACAGCTATGAATTTGATGTTCTCACTCTGTCCTTCACATCTCTCAACTTTTTTCCCCACTTTCCCATCTCTAAACATCTCTGCTCCATCCTGGTTTAATGGCTCAACTGTATGGCCCAGACCTAACTGTTTCTCAACTGACCTAATTTGTCTTCTTCTCTGTCCAGTGATGTTTTTCTTATTTCATTGATCTTATTTCTTCTTCTAGACATTCTGCTTTTTTAAGATGCTTGTTCATTCCTGATAGTTTGGTTTGTACATCGCTGAGATGCTTCTTTTATTTCTTTAAATGTTTTGTGCATCACTGTCCAAGTTCTGTTTCCTGTAGTCCTATACACTGCAATTTCTGGCTGCCTGTTGCCTCTTGTGTCTACTGACTTCTGCTTCCTTTCAAGCAGAAGCCCACACTTTGGGGTCAGGACACTGACTAGGGATCAAGGCTTTGTAAGGAACAGGAGAGAAGGAGGTTTGGGTCGAGGGAGAAGTCAAACCACCATGCAGGATATTCAAGCCACGGCCCACTTTTGGGGCTCCCTGGGGGTACTATCCTCCTAACGCCTATGCTAGGGCCAGAGTTTCAGGACAGCAGACCGAGAGGAGCTTGTTGCCCCACAGCCGGGCAACAAGACCACAATGCTCTTAACCACGGTGATGCTTGGAACAGCCACGCTGCCTTTTAGTTCAGAAGAGAATAGAGTTGTCTGTGCTTTATAAAGTGTTTCTTACCAAGTCATTTCATCCTTAAGAACAGTGTTATTTATGGGTCTTTATTATACTGTAACAAGTGGAATGAAAAGCTCCCAGTATATTCTGCATGATCTCAGTACTAAGAATGTTTGTAAATACTGCAGAGGAATGCTTGTTCCTTTTAAGCCTGATTTTACTAAGAAAAGCAATAAGGTTTTACATTTGTATTAGCTTAAATGTAATTATCCTTACATTCTTTTACTTCAAAACTAATTGAGACCAAAATGTAATGTTATTCACTGACACTTATAGACCGTTACCCCAAAATATCAATTCAAGGAAAGTTCTGTATTATTTGTTTAGTCATTCTGAAGCAAATCCTTAATCTGAGGCAAACTTACCTTTTTTAGTTTCTCCTTTCCTCCCTCCCTCCCTCCCTACCTATTCTTTCCTTCCTTCTTATTCTTTCCTTTCTTCTTCCTATTCCCTTCCTTCCTTCCATTCCTCTCTCCCTTTATGTAAAGCATGTCCCTTGAAGTGATCTGTAAACATAGCCAGAGGCGCAATAAGGATTGCAGATAATTTAACCTTTCAAAAACATTAAATGAAACAAGACTTTATAGTGAAGGATTAATTTGATGCTTTATTAAATTGTCACTTCAAGCCCCTAAAAAAAATTGAGTAAAATATAATAACAGCAATTTCCCAAAGCCATAGCCCAGGTCCACACTATCATGTGGAGATATAAATATTTATCTGTCTCAGTGCATCACTTAGATTTCTCTCTGCCGCAACTGTCAGTCAACTGTGAATCTTTTTTTTTTTTAAAGATTTATTTGTACATACAGAACTGGGGTACAGGCCAGAGGCTCAGGGGCGGTGAGAGGCTTCACCAGAGACAGAGTGGGGAACAGAACAGGCAGATCGACGAAGTACACTGCTGAGGGGAGCAGCGGGCGGGTCAGGAGAGGTCTGCCACGCCATGTGGTCACCTCCGGGGGCAGGCGGGGATTGAACTCATGCGGAAGTGGCTTTAGCTTCTCAGTGCAGTGCTTTAACCCGCTGCGCCACCAGGGAGGGCCAACTGTGAATCTTTTAATGGCATTTCATTTGCTTGAGAACAGCAGCAAATCAAGTATTCAGAATACCTATTATTCTTGTTGAGCGTGTAATAGCAAAGGAAACTGAAATTTTGTAGCAGTTGCATTTCATGTTCTAAAAATCCTGAGGAGAACTTGTGGAGAACTTGTGGATTTAGTATTGGATTACAGCATTAATAGGCCCATGGTTCCATGGGATATGTATGCTTAGATATTTGAGATAAAATTGTTGATAGTGCTTATCAGTAATAAGCTTGAAAAAGCATTACATGCTTTCTCTTATAATAGTATTATAATTGTAAAAAAAAATGCAAGTAGTAGTATTTTAAAAAAGAAAGCAAAGTCATCCCAAATTCTATCACTCTCTGTCGCCATTCATCTAGACACCTCTTTGTGAATATTTACAATGTGTGTGTTTTCAGTTTTGAAATTCTGGTAGCCATGCCATTCACAGCCCAGAGATGTCACTCCTGTGTCGTGTCGTGCATATCTAAGAGCTTTGAATATCTTTTCTCCCTCATTTTAAAGAAAGTAAAAGCTAACTTTCCTTTGGAAATTGCAGAGGGACCCCTGTTTTATAAGGATCCGCTTTCAAGGAGATGTGTCTCCATCTGGTGGCCTTTTAGAGTACGGTCATTAAAGATTTCCCAGCCCATGTGTTTTTTACAACTCTAAATGGCAACAGGGTCAAAGCTGGGACTAGCCCGTGGGTCTGATGAAATCCAGCATGGTGCCAGAGAACCTCATCTGTTGTAGAGCAGAAACCCAGGCTCCTGGGTGGAACGGCACCTGTCCTTCACACCCTTACTCAAGACCTTAGCATCCCACGAGGAGTAAAAAGCTAGAAGAGCCCACCCTTCGCAGCTTGGTAACACTGAGCTCTCTCTACAGTTTCCTCTTTCATCTCAACACTGCTCAAGGAGCCGATCTTAGAAGCCGAGAGTCTCAGCTTCAACCTTGCAAAATCATCATCAGGGCTTTTGTAGAAGAAGGAGGCTGTTATGTTTACATCCAAAATTTGACTTTACATAATAGCTTAGAATCATGGAAAAAAGATAAAGTTGAGTTTTTCTTACTGTGTATATATACGTGGCAAACATAGACCTGATCACAAAGATGGTTGTTTTCTCTGATTAAGACCTTCATGGTTTCATTGTGCATGAAACCATACACAGGAGAGTTGTACTTCACATCTGAAAAAGCAGCTTTTGATTGGATTTTTTTTCTTTTTTGTGTTTCCCATGCAGTATATAGTGGAGTGTCATGGGGTCACCCTTCTCCCCCAGTTCTTGGGCATGTACCGGCTTAATGTTGATGGAGTCGAAATATATGTGATTGTTACAAGGAACGTCTTCAGTCACCGGTTATCTGTATATAGGAAATATGACCTAAAGGTGAGATTTATTTTCATTAAGTAAGTAAGCTTGCTCATCCAAATCATTCTGTTGTAATTGATCATGCTAAAGCCAGTAGGCAATGAACAAAGCACTCCTTTGTGGTAAACTAGAATCATTTGCTGACTTTAACAGAAGACCCTTGTACCTATTCGAGGTATCTTCTCTGATTTATTCAATGAGTATTTTTTGAACACCAGCTATGTACCAAGCATTATTTTACATGCTGGGAATATTATGATGAACAGACCAACCCACACTCAAGAAGCTAACATTCTGGTAGCTAAAGATAGTAAGTAAAAGTAGTAAATTATATACTACAGTATTGTGTCATTTAACAACATTTATGTATTAATGGTGCTATGCATAGAAGGATTCAGGGAAGGCTGGAAGATAAAATTTTAGCTAAGATATAAGGAAAGGTTTCATGGAGAATTCACTGAGAAGGTGACACAGGAGCAGATCTAAAATAGGTGAGAGCATTATCTGAGAGAAGAACATCCCTGATGAGAGCCTGCAAATGCAAAGACCCTGAGGCAACATAGCTCAAGGACACTGAGGGAGAGGGGACCCTCTTGGAGGTTCTGAAGATGGAGTGACCTGATCTGACTTGAAGGGCCACTGGCTTAGAGGGACAATTGCCAAGGTAGGGGTCCGCAAAGAAGGATCCTGCCTGCTTGCTATATGCATTGTTTTTGCACTCAAATGGCAGTTGAGTGGTTACCTTATGAGACCTCATGCATCACAAAACTTAGAACTTTTACCCTCTGGATCCTTCCCAGGAAAAAATTTGCCAATCTCTGTTCTTCATCAGGGGGTCTCAACCTTTTTAATCTTAGATTCCTTCACACTCAAAAAGGACTCCAAAAAGCTTTTCCTTAGTAAAGTATGTCTACTGATATTTATATTAAAAGTTAACATGAGAAATTAAAATATGTATATATAATAAGTCACTATAATTAGTATATTTTTTATGAAAGAGCTATCTTTTATATATAGAGTGTGAGAGAGAGCGCACACTCTATTTTCCCCAAAAAAATAGTAAGATAGGTAGAATTGTTTTATATCTTTGCAAGTCTCATTAATGCTTGACTTAATAACTTGCAAATAATAGCTGCTAGAAAGTCATATCAAGATCTACTTTTGTTCTCTTGTGATATTATTTGATTGAAGTGTGTGAAGAAAAATCTTACTTTATACAAATAAGTAATTAGAAAAGGGGAGGGTATTTTAATAACTTTTTCAGAATAGTGGAAAAATTCTTTGATACTACACAAAACCTGGCAAGTAGTCATTTCTCAAAGTTTAGTGGAATCTGAAATCACATCCGTGAACTCTTTATGCTCTTTTCAGTAAATTCCATTGGCCTGTTTACATGCATTAGTCTGAATACAGCATGCTTGGGTCATTGGGAACATACAAGTGCACAAATTTATATGTTTTTCCAAATAATGACACATTTCAATAGGTGTCTCAGTAAGTCACATTAACATCACTGCTGACCTCATCAGAAAAGCCTTAAGTATTGAGAAGCTGAGGTAAATGCAAGTCTTAGAAAATCACCATTTTCACTTGAAAATTCAACTTTTAGCATTGGCAACAAAGGTCATTTTCTGTGATGTGACAGCGTGCAGCCCTCTGCTCATCGCCCAGCCAAGCAGCTTTGCTAATTTGAGCTCTACTAAGAATCAAAACTAAGGGAACTTACGTTGTAAGAGGGGGAAAATATACACGAACCCAAAATTTGGTTAGGGACATAAAGAGACATAGTTTCTTCCCCTGACTCCAGCATCGACAACACTCAAGTGTACAACCCCCCACCTCCAAGTTGTTGTTCTTTTTTAATTTGGGGCCATTATTAGAAATCATTATGTAAAGGAAGGAGACCCATGTCAAAGAGTCTCTAAAGAAGGAAGATAGCTCTTGTGAGTAATAACTGCTGATTTAACTGGGCAGAAGTCTCTGCTGCTCTTGTGGAACAGGCCACAATTCTCCTTGCAAATGATTCACAGCATCCTTCTTCATTTGGTGGGTCAGCATTGTGCCCCCCAGCGTATCCCCAAGAGACTCAGAGAGGGAGACACCAACCTGGTCTCAGCCCCTCCCTTCTCCAGGAAGGGGTGTCCTCATCTGTGAGTTAATTAATAGGCAACACATATCCTAATCAGTGCCTGAGCTGCCTGAATGAAAACTGTAAAAAATGTTGACTTCTTGAAGAATGGTCAATCTAGAAGCTTCTTTTACTTTTCCTTAATAATTGACTAAAGCAAGTATTCTAGAGATAAATGTCTGTTTAAAAGGTGATCAAGTGAACCCTCTGCTGACCTAGTGGTAGTGGGTGTCCAGTGCTGAAAGGGAAGAGAAACCAGCAAATTAGTCAATGATCCTTCTTCAAACATTTATCCAACATCTCTGGCATTACTGTGTGAGAGACACATAGCGGGTCACCAAGGAGTCCCACGAATAGAGTCATTACTATATTGACATATCTGGGAGTTACTGGGCCAGTTGCTTCCCGCCTTTATCTTTTGTGTTTAAATCTTCCACAAAAAAAGTATAGTTTCTTTGCTTGAACTCAATCCCAAAAGGCCCGCTGTTGACATCTGAGGTGGACCCTGGTTTTCTCCCACAATGGCAGATTGCTGAAGCATCGTTTTAAAAGCCAGTACAGGAGAGTCAGAAGTGCTGAGACCAACAACTGTTTTCTTCCACTTAGGGCCTGGTACAAGAAAAGTACAAGAAAGCGCGCTGGGAGGGAATTTCCAAAGGGAGGGAGAACAGAAAGTCCCCAAGGGGGCTTAATGATAGTAAGTGAGGGAAACATGTTCATATGTAACTCTAGAAAGGCAGTCAGAGGGCTGAGAATGCCCACATCTGGAAGATATAAAGCAGGGAAAGAGGCATTTTTAATGCCCTCATGGACACTCAGCCAGCTGGTGGTCCACTTTACCTTTGAAGATCATAAGGCTAACCATTTCTGGCACTTGATGTAAGGAGGAAAGCATGGTTTTGATCCCGTATGTATTAATAAGGTACCATTTCAGTGATTGTCACGTTTTCTGATTTCCAGTAGAGGGACAAGAGGCAGGGCCAGCACGGCGCAGGGCGAGGGGCAGGCAGGGCTGGAGACCGAGGGAGCAGACCTGACCCAGCAGCCATCCGAGGGGACAGTGACTCTGGAGGAGGCTTCAGAGTCAAGTGGGTGCTTCTTCCTGTGCTCAGCTCTGGGACTCAAGCTATTTTAAACATGTGAACCCCAGGGCCTCAACATGCATATTTTATCATTTCTTTTGTTTCAGGGCTCTACTGTAGCTAGAGAAGCCAGTGACAAAGAAAAGGTAAGTACCCCATTTCTCACCACGATTCTGGGGGGGTGCACCAACAGCCCCACTTCTCTTGGTACCATGTTTTAATTGAAAGAAGATGGTAATAGAAGTCTCTACCTTCCATCATTTATAGACTGACATCATGAAGACTATGCTAAGTTCACTACTAAAAGTCCACTATGGCCTCCGCTGACAGCCCTTTTGTGGGGTCGCTCTACTTTATATTCTCCTTCACGCCTCAGTTCTTCTCATCTTCTCATTAGCTGCCCCTGTGGGAAGCGCGTTGCAGTGAGGAGTGTTAACTGCCTTCCTCCTCCTCACATTAGCTACCCCCTGCCTCTCAGTTGCAGAGGCAGGTAGCGATTAGTTGTAAGTGGAGCTGAAGAATTCTTTCACATGCACCACAGTCTTGAAGCTTAGGTGAAGTCCCTAAAGCTCCAAACTGCAGGCGCAGCTCACCAACTAGCTGGGTGTGGCTGTTGGCTTGAGTAAGTTTTCCTCACCTCAACACCTCAGTTTTCTCATCTATAAAGAGACACTGTGGAGCTTCAACTCCACCTATAGAGGAAAGGCTTTGAATGGATCTCAAACTCCTTTCTGACTAAAATGTCAAGATAATGACGTGTGCTTTTATTTTGCTTAAAGAATTAGGAAAGAGGAGACTACAGTTTTTAATCTTTTCCTGAGTCACGGGTAGTATTAGGTAGCATTTGAACCACAATACGAGATTTTTATAGTTTTTTATACGAGATTCTAGATAGATTCAACTTAAATCAGCATGATTAAGAATCAGTATGATGAAATCAATGTGACTGAGAAATCCCATTCTATACAAACTAAACTGACTAACACTGATCTCCGTTTATAATGAAAGTCAGGAAAAGTTTATAGAGTGTGTAGACCACAAGGGCACTTCGAGAATCAGCCCTAAATTGCGTCATCATTTAAGGAGCAGGTGAGGGGAGAGGACCCTACAGTGGATCAGATGAGCCAGGGAAGTCTGGGTTATGGGTTCAGAGTTTCATCGAGCATCTGCTCTGAATAAAGTATTATGAGAAATCCCTCACTGAGCAATGCTCCTATTCGTAGGAAACTTGCACTCTGATCTGCACCCAAAATCTAGAAGGAGTTTTCCCAGAATCAGGTACTTTTGCAAGATCAGATAGGATGAAGGATAGGAATTATCCTTTGAGGTTACCAACAGAGAACCACCAGATCATCTTTTCAGTGATCACTCATGAAGCAGAAACCAGACAGAAAAAGAACCCAGTGCATACTTTTTTTTTAAGACTTATTTATTTATGCATACAAGAACTGGTGTGTAGGTCAGAGACAGCTTGGGGAGCAGAACAGGCAGAGGTACTGAAATACACTGCTGAGGGGAGCAGTGGGCGAGATAGGGGAGGTCTGCCGCACCATGTGGGTCACCTCCCTGGCGGGGAATAGAACTCGAGCCGCAGCCTTGTGGTCACTTCATAGTGCTGTGCTTCAACCCATTGTGTCACCGGGGAGGGCCCACCGGTGCGTACCTACTGTGCGGCCATCCCAGGCCAGGCGGGTTCACCCTCCATTCTACCAGTGTAAAAGGGAACTTTGGAGCCCATGGTATCATCTTCACAGGTTTTAATCGTCAGCAGCAGAAACCAGCCAGCAGGGAGATAGCACCGTAAGCCTCCCTGGGTGCCTGGGTGATGCTGCCTGTTTATCGCCTCCCTGCTAGGCTCCAGTGTGCACACTTAGACCTGCTCCAGGAGTCCACCGTCAGGCAGTGTCCCCGCACCCTGCCTTGGGCATTAACACATCAAGGCCACGGGTGATGACCACAGAGGCTAATAGCATTAAAAGTCTGATTAATTCATTTACCCTACAATACTTCTTTGTCAATTTGTATTTCTACTGTGCACTGGTGAAAGTATTTTTACACTTCCAACCTTCATGTCAACCAGTCCCCCTGAAGACCCCAGCTTTGGCTAAAAGACGCAGAAACATGCCATGTTACTGATTAAACATCTCTTCCAGGTGCCCAAGACCCAAACACATATGTAAGTTCTAGTCCACAATGACTCAAAAGCTTAGTATCATTGGGATATTCTCCTAGGGAAGAACATCTGGATTGTTTGAAGGCCACACAGCCTTCGGAGCACTGTAAGAAGTCAGCCCCTGAGTGCAGAGCCGAGGACAGAATCTACCGCTCGAGGTTGGCTGCTCTGTTTTACTTCACTCACAGGTCCCTTGAGGTCACTGCTAGCAGCCTTTCCCCCTTCTGTCTCATTTTTATTTCCTCAGTCACCAGGGTTTGGTTTGCTCTGATAACCAAAGAAGGAAAGACAGGTAAAGTCAATGGTGCAGCTACAGATGCGGATTAAGTCATAATAGGGAGACACTGTGTGAAGGAAAATCACACACACTTGGCTCTGACGTATCTGTAGTTTTCTCAGGAGCAGAACATTCAGCTACTTATCTGAACTGCCCATACAGTCACATGCTCCCTCAGACACCCACAGCATTCAGCACACTTCCACTGCCAGCCTCCCCAAAATGTTCAGCCCCTTCATAGGTGTAGATTCTATGAAAAGGCCTAGATCATACATTTTGTATAGCAGAAACTCACTTTTCTGAGGATTCTGCTAAGAAGCTTTATCCCACATTGTGTATATGCCAATTGTTCCTCAGAACACTCCCCTTGGAGGTGGCCTTAGAGAAGGCAGAGATGCAAGGGGCCCCGAGAGATCAGAGTTCAGCGTCTCCGCAGCACACAAGACAGCTTTGAGACGCAGACACTTAAATTTTAGTGCACCATCCACAGTTAGTGGCAGAGGCAAACCTTACCTAATGGGAGCATATTTTTTTTATATTAATCTTGACTTGTTGGGAATTATAAAGGTAAATAATTATTCACATCTGCTCAGTGCATACTATACGCCAGGCAGGCACTTTTAGATATTACACGAATATGGTCACATAACCCTTACAGCCACCTTATGGGGGAGGGGGGAGTTGCTGTTATTACTGCCCTTGAGTTGATGAAGTTATTTCAGTAGCCTGATTCAGTAACTCCTCTAATGGACCATACTTAGGAAATGATGGGCCAGCTTCCTAGACCGAGCTCACATTTCTGACCACTGTGCTGTATTTCCTACTTCAGTGTTTGGAATCTCTCGTTTTTTAAAAGGACGTATTACCTAGAATTCACAGTAGCCCCATGAGTCATGGTAAAGATCAAGGAAACATTCACTGCATTGACAGAAACATTGTTCTGTAGTTAAAAATGTGGCACTAAAGAAGGTATTCTGAGTCGTGACATAAGTATTTTAAAAAGTAGTGCCATCATTTGAGTTCACACTGTGCTGGCAAATAATCTGTATTTCCTCCATTTGAGGAGTTCCAGCACTTTTGTAACTAAGTCTACGTCACTGCAGCTTACACTTAAGTGTAAAAGCCCAAGTTGTCTGCACACCTGCCCCAAGGAAGAAGAGCACCGAGCTCTCACCTGGTGTCTGGCTCGGGACTAGTGGCAGTGATTCTTCCAGAAGCCATGGCTGTGAAAGGCCACCCAATGCCCTTCTGAATTACAAGGGATTGGACAGGAGGCAATAGTTTGAAGATATGGAACCTAACAGTCATTAAAATCAGTAACTGATGAAGACTGTGCCTGCACAAGAGAACATAACATCTCTGGTAGAGCAGTATGTTTATAATCTAGCAACACTGGGATAATGTTTACTAAACTATAATAGATGAAATGTATCAGTGGAGCTGAACAATTACAAAAATCTAAATTCTTTTGAGTTCTAAGAAATTTCTCTGCTTTCCCTTTTCTGCCAGTTTTCAGCTTTTCTTTCCATCAGCTGTTAATGTTTATCACGCCTCCCAAAAGCAAGCTACTCCTTGTCATCACAAATAAAGCTATAGATGTTGTCAAAATAATCTATTTCATTGCTCTCATGTGATATTTTCTACAAAAAGATAATCATGGTGCAATGAGTGGATTTCCTAGAGAATCTCCATTGATATGTCTTAATGAGTTATCTGAATTCTTAGTTTTTAATTTATTTGAATGCCCCATACTTTTAACTTCTCAATGACAAGTTTTAAAACTGTTATATCAGCTAGTTAATGGTATAGGTGCAGACAAATCCCATCCCTTAGATTTCAGCTTGACACATAATTAGCGTGATTTGCATTATTATAATAATGAAGATGGAACCGAAGGAAACAAAGAAGTCATATTCCAGCAATAATGGGATCACTTTCATGACAACAAGTATCAGAATATGCAAGTACAGATGTCTTAAAATTTTAAAAAGCAGAAGAGTGCTTTTTTTTTTTTAAGCTGCTGTCAAATTCTGACAGCTGCTATGACTTGTTTTATTCTTTAATTCTTTCCTTTTTAATGGAAGGGCATCTTCCATTCATGGCTCCAGCAGTTTAGCCTCCTCTAAATGAGAGAGAGAAATGCGAATCTCCCTGGCGGTCGATCTTTTCACAGCTGCACTGCAATTCCAGTGTGACATCAAATTAGTAATTATAGCTGAGTGGACTGCTTTTTACAAATGACGGCCCTACCATGCTGCCAGCAAGCAAGCTACTCAGCAGGGGCTCTGGGAAGTAAAAGAAAACATAACTGGACTCACTTGATTTCTAGGGGATTTGACCTGACTCTTTAAAAAGCCCATGTTCTTGAGTGAGAGTCCTGGGGTTTACACAACTATGCATTTTGTTCATCATTCTGCACATTTCTTCTGAAAACTCACGTCTGATTTTATTAGGTAAAGTGAAGCCTGTCTAATGGAGTCATAGGGTCACAATAAGAAGATTCCTTTTAACATATAACCTTTTCCCTGGAACCCATTTGAAAGAAAACAGCTGCCCTGCAATTGGCATTTGTATAACTATATTGGCAATAATCATTGTTGACACTTTGATAATGGGCCACAGAAAAGCAGCCTTGTCGATTCTTAGGCATTGTGAATTGGGCCAGCAATTAAGTGGCTGTCACCATCTCTGACATT